AGATTTGAGGGTATGGGAATTTGATTTGAGGAATTTGATGTATGAATTGGATTTGAGAGGTATGTGTATAAGATTTGAGGGTATGGGAATTTGATTTGAGGAATTTGATGTATGAATTGGATTTGAGAGGTATGTGTATAAGATTTGAGGGTATGGGAATTTGATTTGAGGAATTTGATGTATGAATTGGATTTGAGAGGTATGTGTATAAGATTTGAGGGTATGGGAATTTGATTTGAGGAATTTGATGTATGAATTGGATTTGAGAGGTATGTGTATAAGATTTGAGGGTATGGGAATTTGATTTGAGGAATTTGATGTATGAATTGGATTTGAGAGGTATGTGTATAAGATTTGAGGAATTTGGATTTGAATATGAGAAATTTGAGATAAGGCATTTGAGGACTTTAGATTTGAGGGATTTGGATTTGGGAGAAATATGAGAAATTTGATATGAGGAGTTTAAAGAACATAGAAACCCTGTGAACACGGCTAAGGACACAGAAACCTTGTGAACACGGCTAAGGACACAGAAACTTCTCTTCAATCCTCTTCTCTCTCTGAAGAGAAGGTTATGTCGGAGTCAAGAAAGAGGCAAAATCTCCATGAGAAAGAGAAACAGATCATTTTTCATTCCCCCTCCCCCCTTGAAGAGGAAGGGAGGAGAAATTTTGATATGAGAATTTAGAGACAACCGAGGATCGATTGCTCTGATACCATGCTAAAATATGAATATGGGTTTTGAATATGTTAGGTCCTTTAATTCTTCTCCATAAGGAGGTATATATAAGAGTTTACATGAGTGCTTTACAAGGAATTAGATACAGTAAAGGATTAGGAAAGTATCTCCTAATTATACAATGATTTGACAATTATATAAAATAGGAAAGTAAATCCCTTAATTAATCAAGGAAATAAATCTCCTTGATTAATTAGGAGACTCACTTCAACAATTTTCACATGCGTTTCGGCTACATATCTCTATCACCATCCATTTTGCGGTTCTTTATGTTTGGAATAAGTTACAGAGACTTGTTGGGTTCTCTGTGTGGTTTTCACCTCTCATTTTGTGAGAACTATTCACCTCTCCTTTTATGAGAGCTTTTCACCTCTCTTTTGTGAGAGTTTTTCATCTTTCCTTTGTGAGAGCTTTTCATCTCTCCCTTGTGAGAGCTTTTCATCTCTCCCTTGTGAGAGCTTTTCATCTTTCCTTTGTGAAAGCTTTATTTATATTATTATAGCTTGTTTTTTTCAAGCTTCATCTCTTTTTGATTATTCTGAGGTTGCAATCTTAGTTGGGATGCCTATATTGGAATTTATTTGATCATGTGTGATCATTAGTGGAGTCGCACCAGATTGTCTTAACTTTGATGTTAGATCACTCCGTTTTTGTAATGACCCTTTGTGGCCAATAACTTTTTTGGCTAAATTATGAATACAATCCTAGAATTTCTCAACAAAAAAAACTATTATCAAAAACCCAAATTTGAATATAGGTTAATAGTTGTCCTAATATTACAAAATATTTACACACTGTGGCATCTACCTTACTTGTCAAATCCCTTATGTTTAGCATTTATATTTAATTCTTTTTAATTAGTCACCTATTTAATATTGAAACGTTTTGACTAAAAAGAAATCAATGAATACCTAAATAATAATGTAATACATACCTAATTAGTCACCTATGTAATATTATAGCTAAACAATGATAATATGTACCTACATACAAATTAAGCTTTTTGTCTAAAAGAATATTGATTAGGTAATTGTCTATTGGAAAATTATGGTGATACATGCAAAAAATAATTTACCTACATATCATGTTTTGGAAATCAACCTCATAATTAAAATATAATAGGTATATGGAAATCAGCCTCATAATTAAAACAAATAATTAATTATAGACAAAAATTATGGAGGGAATCACCACAATAAATTGGGGAATGAAAAATTAAAACTCCACCACATAGCACAATGAATTGTAAATAGGGTTATTTTGGGAATCTAAAAATTATAATAACCCAGATATTAAGCTTAATAAGGTAACTTGATCAGTTAGATCCTAGTCATAGATTTTTACTTATAAAAATTGAATTTTATTAATAAGAACAAAACATTAGGAATTACAAATAAGGAAAATTCAATTTAAAAGGGATAAACCAAATTTACTATAAAATTATTACACTTTGGCACTTATTGGTCACTCAAGGTCGGCAACAAGATTGTTGACCTAATATGTCATCCTTATCGGCATTAATGGTTATAATTGTAAGACCCGTGTCTTGGGGAAACAAGAACGGTGAGCAATCCCACATCGCTCGGGGAGGGAAAGGTGAAGTGCTTAAATGTGTGGGCCCTTCTCTTCCTAGCACGAGGCCTTTTGGGAGCTCACTGGCTTCGGATTCTTAGGAACTCTGAAGTTAAGCAAGTTGGGGGCTAGAGTAATCTCAGGATGGGTGACCCACTGGGAAGTTGCTCGTGAGCTCCCAAAAACAAAACCGTGAGGGCAGAGAGGGGGGCCCAAAGCGGACAATATCGTGCTAAAGGAGTCGAGTCGTGACAATAATACCTACAAAATCCCACGCATACATTTTGTTTCTTATAATTAATATATATGGAGTCTGAAGACGTCATTTTCTTTGCATATCTGCCAGATAAATACCATTTGTGCATTCGGTACTAGCAAAAATATAAAACAATCAATGTTTGAAGTACAACATATCCAGAAAACCCTAATCTTCTTTCTCCTAAAAAAAATACTCTAGAGCTGTTTTTACTTTGAAGGGGGGAGGAAGCCATTGTTTTTCCTCCCCTCTCCTGCCTTCCTCCATTTTTAGAGATAGAAGGTTTACCATTTTTGTCTTATTTTTTGTTATGATTTTCCTCCACTCATCACATGTGGATGTGTCTCAGAATCGGATCTCCATCACCATCTTTTTTGCAATTTTTTCATGTTTGAAATAAGTCGCAAAGACTCTTTGAGTTTTCTATGTAGTTTTCACATCTTATTTTGTAAGAGTTTTTCACCTCTCCTTTGTGAGAGCTTTTCACCTCTCATTTGTGAGAGTTTTTTTTATTTGTATTGTTATGGCTTGGTTCTTTCAAGTTTTATCTTTTTTTGGTTGTTCTGAGTTTGCATTCTTAGCTGAGATGCCTATGTCAGAGTATCTTTGATCTTGTGTGATCGTTAATGGAGAAGCCTCATATTGTCTTAATTTTGATGTTAGATTGCTCCGTTATTGTAATGACCTTTTGTGGCTAGTTTGTATTGGCCCTTCATGACTAGTGGCTTTTTTAGCTGAATTATGAATGCAATAGAATTTCTCCACACAAAAAAAAGTACAACATATCCATCGATGAGATTTATTTTATGCTTGAAAGGGATAATGTTGTGCGGATGAACTAGATTTTCAATATACTATGAAATTTAGGTCCAATTAATACTTTGCTCTTCATAGATGTGGGTCAGACCAATTGGCTAGGGCAGTGTCCGTTCCTTGCACCGAAGTTCGAATCTTCCTTCTTGTAGATCAGATCAGATCAATTTTTTTTGTTGAGAAATTTTGGGATTGCATTCATAATTCAGCCAAAAAAACCACTAGCCACGAAGAGCCAATACAAACTAGCCACAAAGGGCCATTACAATAACGGAGTGATCTAACATCAAAATTAAGACAATATGGGGCTCATCCACTAATGATCACGTAAGATCAAAGAAACTCTGACATAAGCATTCTAATTAAGAGTGCAAACTTAGAACAACCAAAAATAGATAAAGCTTGAAAAAACCAAGTCATAACAATACAAATAAAATTCTCACAAAGGAGAGGTGGAAAGCTCTCACGAAGGAGAGTTGAAAAACTCTAACCATGAGATGTGGTGTGGTGGTAGCTCACCTCATTCCTTAACCATGTGGTTGGGGGTTCGATCCCCGCCCATGGGAATGGAGCGCCAGGGCCGGCCCAGAGGGGTGGGCAAGGAGGGCGACGGCCATGGGCCTCCAATTTTTGGGGCCCCAAATTTTTATATATATTAAGTAGTAATAAAGTGTTATATTAATTAAAAATTTTAAAAAAAACATAAAGAAAACAAATTGAGCCAAAAGAGAGACCATTGAATAAACAATCCTCATCTGTCTCCCACTCCATCCTCATCTGTTTCCCACGCCATCCTCATCCTCATCTGTCTCCCCTTTTGTGCATTATTTTTATCTTTTGTTCATCCTCATCTGTCTCCCATCCCACGCATGCCTTCTTTTATCTTTTGTTCTTTTTTCTGCCCAACGGCTTCTTTTAAAACTCAAGATTTCTCAAATAATTCTCTCCCAAACACCTCTCATCTCAGCTATCAAATCCGTCCGTCAGCCCTGTTCACAGATCCAAAGCATCAACTTCCTAAGCTCAAATCGAAATTCTCCCTCTATCAAACTTGTTCCTCTTCATCTTTGTAAGTTATTTAAATCTGTGAAAATTAGAAGTTTGTTGGCAAATGAAGGGCTTAATGACTGGAAACGTTTAAGTGAGAGGCTTAAACAACATGAAACTAGCAGTGAGCATATCAATAACATGAGAACTTGGATTGACATGCAAATTAGATTGAAAAAGAATGAAACAATTGATAAAGAGCTACAAGTGCAAATTAAAAAAGAGAAGGAACATTGGAAATTTGTTTTAGTAAGAATAATTTCTGTTGTGAGATGTCTTGCTAAAAGAAATTTAGCTTTTCGTGGAGAGAATGAGAAAATTTACCAAGATAATAATGGTAACTTTTTGGGGCTGCTTGAATTAATTGCAGAATTTGATTTAGTATTGCAAGAGCATTTTAGACGTTTTCAAAATAATGAGATTCATTGTCACTATCTTAGTCATAAAATTCAAAATGAGTTTATTGGTATGTTAGGCTCCAAGGTTAGAAGTGCTATCATTGAAAAAATCAAAGAGGCAAAATATTTTTCTGTAATACTTGATTGTACTCCAGATGTAAGTAACTATGAGCAAATGACTTTAATAATTCGATGTGTAGATGTGTCAAATGCTCCCATAAAGGTAGAAGAATATTTTTTAGAGTTCTTGAAAGTGGATGATACATCTGGATGTGGACTTTTTAATGAGTTACAAGCTGTATTAAAGTGTCTTAAACTTGATATTAATAATGTAAGGGGCCAAGGTTATGATAATGGAGCTAACATGAAGGGGAAAAACAAGGGTGTGCAAATAAGGTTTCTAAAAATAAATCCTAGGGCATTTTATATGCCATGTGCTTGTCATTCTCTTAATTTAACAGTTTGTGATATGGCAAACTCTTGTGTTAAAGCTGTGTCATTTTTTGGTGTTGTGCAACGTATGTATACTCTATTTGCTAGTTCTACAAAGAGGTGGAAAATTTTTCAAGATCATGTCCATGGATTAACTCTTAAACCATTGTCAACAACAAGATGGGAAAGTCATATTAATAGTGTTAAAGCCATAATAACCCAAACTGATGATATAAGAGAAGCACTATTTGAATTGTCTAGGGTTAGTGAAGATGCAAAAACAAAGAGTGAAGCTGAATCTTTAGCTACACATGAACTTGAAAATTTTGAATTTTTGTTGGGCATGAGTATATGGCATAACATTTTGAAAAAAATTGACTTGGTTAGCCAAAAATTGCAATATGGAGATATGCAAATTGATGTTGCAATAAAACATTTGAAGGGGCTGGTCTCTTATTTTGTAGACTATAGGGAACATGGGTTCACATTGGCCCTACTTTCTGCTAAAGAGATTGCATCAAAGATGGAAATTGACCCTGTATTTCCTGAAAAACGTCAAAGTCGAAGAAAAAAACAATTTGATGAAAATGACCATAAAGAGACATTTCAATCTGCTGAAGAATCTTTTAGGGTGAATTATTTTCTTGTTGTAGTTGATGCTGCAATTTCTTCTTTGAGGAGTAGGTTTGAACAATTAGAAATATTTGAAGGCATTTTTGGTTTTTTGTTTGATCCTCAGAATTTATTTCAAATGAATTATATTAGATTGCGTGAATGTTGTAGAAATCTTGAAGTTGCTTTAACACATGATAATGAATCTGATATTAATGCTGATGATTTGTTTTCTGAATTGGAAGTGTTACAAATGTATTTACCGAAAGAGACAAAGACAGCCATTGAAGTTCTTGATTTTGTAAAAGTTGTGGATTGTTTTCCAAATGTGCCAATTGCTTATAGAATTATACTGACTTTGCCAGTAACTGTGGCATCTGCAGAAAGAAGTTTTTCAAAATTAAAATTAATAAAATCTTATTTGCGATCAACTATGTCACAAGAAAGGTTAAATGGATTGGCAATCTTATGTATTGAAAAGAATATGTTGGAAAATATTGATTTTGAAGAGGTTATTGATGATTTTGCTTCTCAAAATGCTAGAAGATCAAGAATTTTTCAATGAAGATCAAGAAGATCAAGAATTTTGAAGAGGTTGTAGATGATGAAGTGGAAGTCAAAGGAGCTTTTTGTGTACAATTGAGCCACTTGAGAACTAAGCCCTATGGAAGAGCCACTTAAAAACTTTTGTTTTGTTTTGCTGAAATTTTAGGAGCTCTATGCCCCTAAATATGATTTTTGTTGTTTATGAATCATATACTTTTGGTTTTTTTTTTGTTGGTTGAATGAAATTATTCTATTTAAGCAGTGGGATTTTGCTTCATATTCATAAAAAGAAAAAGGAATGAGCAAATTTTTTTTAAAAAATTATATACTAAGGGCCTCGTTTAATTTTTGGCCATGGGCCACCAAAATGTCAGGGCCGGCCCTGTGGAGCGCATTTCGTGGCCAGCTGTTTACCTCCTTTGGAGAGCTCCCGCGGCGAAAGGGATTAGTCACTGCTGCCGGCGGTGGACACCCTTGGATCTCATCCAAAAAAACTCTCACAAAAAGAGAGGTGAAAACCACACAGAAAACCTAAAGAGTCTATGCGACTTATTCCAAACATATGAAGAAACCGCAAAAAGGATGGTGGTAGAGATCTAATACCGAAACGCATATGGAAATTCAACGTTGAGACGTATCCGCCCGTGATGAGTGGAGGAAAATCATTACAAAACGAAGACAAATAGGGGAAACCTTATGTCTCTGAAGATTCTGGAAAAGAGGAGAAGGAAAAAGGGGAAAAGGGAGGAAGAGAGAGGGGAGAGGGAAGGAAGAACATTGACTTCCTCCCCCTCAAAATGAAAATGGTTGTAGAGTGTTTTTTGGGAGAGAAGGGACTAGGGTTTTCGTCTTAGATATCAGGTTAGACTCTAATTTCCAGTATTGCCATACGTACTTTGCTCTGCAATTAGCGATATCTACGAGAATATGGCATTCTGAAAAGTCGAAGGAGAAATTTTAAAAAATTTCATAATTGATTGTGAGAACAAAGACGTGTGTTTTAAAATGTCATCCATTCCAAAAAAGCATATACGGCTGACGAGGAAACTTCCGTTTAGCACCTGTTTCCCCGATAAAGAGTGGTTCCTTTAGAAAAAGTACAATGTTGTTTACCTCATGCACCAACAATAATGGAAAAAAAATGCACATTCTCTGCTAATGGTCTTCCAAGGATGGATGAAAATGAGAATCCACTTTCCACACAATGCTAATTCTTTATTAACATATATTTGACCAACCAACTAAATGAAAAGAAAAGAGAATCGATGGATAAATCAATATCTACCTTTCCAAACCTTCATACCTGACATTAATCAAGATATATTCTCATTGCCCACGTATAAGTTATCAAATGTTTTTTTTATATCATTTATCATATATCAATCTAAATAATTATTTAAGGGTATGTTTAATATTGCCCCTTTTTTTAACAAAGCGATATCAGACGAGGGGATTCAAACACTGAATCTCGAATTCCCCTTTTTAAAATAGCCACTTATAAGGTAGAGAGATCATAATCAACTGCTCTTAATTACTCGAGCGCTACACCGTTACATGCTTGATAGTGTTTTTAGAATAACTAAAAGTGTTTGTAAAATTAAAAGAACAATACTTTATATAAGCACCTACTAGAACATCGAAATGCTTTTTAAGAAATCACTGGAATTTTAGTATTAAAAAAAAATTGTGCTTCTAACAAAAGCACTTCTTCCAAAAGTGTTTATGAACGGTAATTCCTACCGGAACACTCCCGAACAAGTCCTACGTCCTAATTTGAGAAATTTTTCATTTGATGTATTGTCCAACTTGACAAATCTGATACGTTAATAATTCATCATCAATCCCAAGTTCTAACTTATTGCTTCAATTTGTGGGCCAGATAGATTGATAACCTATTAGAAGATAGATATATGATGAGAGCAGTCGGCAGCCCCAGGCCATGGCAGCATTTGATATAATCATAACAATTCAATGGAGGTAAATGAAATACAAATACAAAACCAGAAAAGGAAAGCATGTGCAAATAACATTCCGTGTTATTTTCAAAGTGTTGATGGAGAATGGTGGACTCTCCGAGACCAACCCAAGTCGCTCAAGAGGGACCGCCAAAGCACAAGTGTGGAGATAATAGACTATTATTGTGCATAATGTACAGAAGGAGAAAGAGACAGAGAGATTTTCACTCACTACTTTCAAAATCCACAATCAATGGAAGCCATTAAAACTCTCTCTCCAAATGGATGGATCAAATCCAAAAACACCACCCAGGGTGGGGGCCTAGGGTTCCCAAAATACCCAATTAAGCCTACCACCATCGATGGTGCATATAAAGCACATTAAACCCTACCAATAATTCCAACCCAACGAACCATTAGCTATGGCTTAGGCTCCCAAGCCTATTATTATAGCCATTTATGTGTTTTTTAAAATTAATTTTTTAAGTAGTATCTTGTTCATAAATGGCTCAGTTTCCCTGCCCTACCGTTTTGACTACACATACTTTGCACAAGTCTTTGGTTTTGACTTTGGTCCTCACCCTACATTTTACCCCCCAATCACCTTTTTTATGCCCCACCACCCCCCTCCTTTTTCACTGATTTAAATATTATCTCCTCCCCACCCATCTCTTTCTATAACCCCAAGCACCAAACCCTTTTAAGTGGTGAAGTACCATTTCTCTCTAGTTGCCTAAAACCAAACTCAGAGAAAAAACAGGAGAGAGAGAGAGAGAGAGAGAGAAAGATGACAGGGCAGTTTCAGAAGAGTAGCATGTACATGGAACACAACCCAGCAATTGTTGAAAACGGAGATTTTCGCAAGAATCTGGACGACGACGGTCGTCCCAAAAGAACTGGTAAGAAAGCAACACTGTTGTTTATGAGATATGAACTCAGAATCTCGTCCGACTTCTTGATATGAAATATATATTTATGTTCTTGTTTATAAGATATTAAGACTTGAACTCAGAAACTCGTCCGAATGACTTTGGTTTGTGAACTTGTGAAGGGACATGGGTGACTGCCAGTGCACATATCATAACGGCTGTGATTGGATCAGGGGTGCTATCTCTGGCATGGGCCATAGCTCAGCTAGGTTGGGTTGCAGGGCCAGCTGTTCTCATGGCCTTCTCTTTCATCACCTACTTCACCTCCACCCTCCTTGCCGACTGTTACAGGTCCCCGGACCCTGTCCACGGCAAGAGAAACTACACCTACATGGATGTTGTACGAGCCAATCTAGGTAGCATTATCCTGTCGTATAATTATTATAATTTATTATTTTGGAAATTGTGGAAGGTTTTTTTTTTTGGGAAGGTTGGTGTGAATTAATGGTCACGTAATCTGGGGTTTTTGTTTGGTTTTGTGCAGGAGGCAGAAAAGTGCAGCTTTGTGGGTTGGCTCAGTATGGAAATCTCATTGGTGTTACTATCGGTTACACAATTACTGCCTCCATCAGTATGGTGTAAGCAGCGGCACCTATCTGCAACATAATGACTTTCCCTTTTTGACTCAGTGTTTTCATGATAGGGAAATTCTGTTTCTATATTTAAATTTTTCTTATAAAAACTAGATTCCCTGTATTTGTTTATCATATTTATTCACTAAACGATGTGTCAATAACATGTTTTTACATCAAATTACGTCTTAGTATACATATTTATTTCGTAATTTACTCGTCAAATGATATCTTACTATACATATCTGGATCTTATTTGTTAATAATAAATACATATATCAGTAATATATTTGTTCACTAAATGACGTGTCAGTATATATATCTATCTTGTAATTTACTCGTCAAATGATGTGTCAATATAATAAAAAGAATAAATATTCTTTTGTATTTAAATAATACAGTCACTTTCAGTGTGTTTCTTTATTATTATTTGTTTTTTGTTGGGTGATTTTATAGCTTTAACGTTTTTTGTAAACTTTCATGCAGGGCGGTGAAGCGGTCGAATTGTTTTCATAAACATGGACATCATGTGAAGTGTCGCACATCAAATAACCCATTTATGATCATCTTTGCTTGCATCCAAATCTTGCTCAGCCAAATCCCAAACTTCCATAAGCTCTCATGGCTCTCAATCCTCGCAGCCGTCATGTCCTTTGCCTATTCTTCCATAGGCCTAGGCCTCTCCGTGGCCAAAGTTATAGGTAATTAAATTGCAACTTAAATTATTGAGATGATGATTTTGTATAGGTTCCAAAGAACTTTGTCTATCTGGTTTCAATAATTTGTGGCTAATATAGAAGGTAGGCTGATGGATTGATAAATTATTTTATGGACAATGAAGCTGGACCACATGCAAGGACAACCTTAACTGGAGCTACAGTTGGGATAGATGTGTCAGCCTCGGAGAAAGTTTGGAAGACATTCCAAGCCATTGGAGACATTGCCTTTGCTTATGCTTATTCTACCGTGCTTGTGGAAATACAGGCAACTCTCTTACCTAATATTTACCTTAATCTTCTTATTAATATATTAAGCTATGTCTATATATGTATGCCACACATATATTTACCTTAATCTTCTCATATTATCGGGACGGTAAAAGGGTCACATGATAATATATTATATTAACATATTCTAAATATGAGTGAACGAGACATGGTTGGTACTTCACTCTTTTAAGAATATCCACTTATATTATAATATGTAAACAATTTATACCGCGGGACTGTATCATAAATAATATTATAAGTCACATCAACTTTCATATTATGTGATGAGTGTTCATGTTCAAAATGTGTGTGTACAGCCTTCATAATATAAAAAGAAAACTTACTTTATGTAACTTGAAAAGGCCATTAGCCCCTATCTTCTTCTTCTTTTCAGATTGAATCAAACCCTATATTTTAGAAAAAGGGAAGAAAAAAAAACATGAAAACCCATTAGACCTAGCTACTCAAGGGCTCATAAAACTCATCCTGCCTAGGCAATTCTTGTGTTGCCTAAAGGGCAAAGCAAACAAACAAAACAATAAAAACACGAGGCCTGCTAGGGCGTATGTATGTGTCTTCTATATAGGAGGGGTTCACATGCATGCAGCATGTTTATTTTGTCTTCAACACAAAATCTGAACATAATATTTTGGCTCCATATCCAAACCTGCTGCAACTTTAATATGTGTGCCTTATTAAATGTTAAATGTCGGCATGACATAGCTTGCTAGTTTTCGAAGCAATAGCGTGTCGCATATATATTATAGAGCTTATATAAAAAAATATAAACGAACAAATTATTGCAGCACAAAACAAAGAGGTAGGTTCTAAAATCTTTAATTTGTTAGATTTCATGAGAGTTCATAAAATAATGTGTTCACATAGACGTATTGAAAGTTAATCTAAGAAAATAAGAAACTTACTTGTGTTGAACTTAGAAGGATCATGATAGGGTTTTGTGTATGAGTCGAAAAGTAGGTTGAAATTTCATACCTTGATTTCAACCTCATCTCAACTCATATCTTGACTCGATCTCGATTACGATACGGTCTTACCTAGTTCAAAGCATATTAGTTTTTGAATTTTTTACCTTAGTTTACCCAGAAAAAAAAAATGTAGATGTGGATGCCCATGTTCTTATACTGTCGCGATAAGAACCTAAAAAAGTAAAGAAGTGATTGGGAAGGGAAGTGGTCCGATAGAACTCGACTCTTCCATTATAACAAAAAGACAAATATAGTAAAAGTTTCACAAAATTTTGTTTTCAAATCACGAATAGGGAATATATTGTCAAAGCTTACATTCTAGTAAAAAAAATAAAGATAAAAATTAATTTCACAAATCCCATTAGGTTTTTTTTTCCCCTTAATTTCGATTGAGAAGTGAAAGCATGTTTTTTAAGTGTTTATTTTTCATTTCATTTGTTATATATATATATATATTAATTATACTATTTTACCGAACAGCCCCCTTAAGAAAGATTCTTAGAGGACCATCAAAGGTGGACCGCAAAAGCAAAATTCGGGGCACCGAATAAGTTGGCCTTTAAAAAAACAATTCTTTCTACTTTTCTTGTCGTCCATCCTTTTTCTTCTTATCATGCAACTATTGGCAGGTCATTGTCAGATCTTTCTTCTATGAATAATCTCAGAGTTGTCCCTTTATCAGTCAGGAACTCGGCATCTTAAAGTTGGACATGAATTCTAAACCAGAGAAAAAAAAAAGTATTTTTAAAAAAGATTGAACATCATGTCTTCTTTTGTTTTGTTTCTTTTCTTTTTTTATTTGATTGGTTTTGGTATGATAGGAATGTTTTCGTGGAGAACGGGTCATATTTTATAAAACATTATAATGAACATATACCAATCAGTAGGGTATAGCTTAGGTGGTTGAGCTTTTTCACTTTTATTCACATATGCTGAGGTTCGAAAGCCTCAAGCATCCAAATATTCGCTTCTACTAAAGAAAAATTGTGTGAGAGTTGTTAATATGTACTTATTGTATTAACTATGACTTAATAGAAATCACTGCTTCTAGGAATTAAGATAAGCCATAATTAACCAGGACTAGTAATTGCAGGACACATTGAAATCACCCCCGGCAGAGAACAAAGCCATGAAGAGGGCAACTAGTATCGGCATTGCAACCACCACAGTGTTCTATGTTCTTTGTGGGTGTGTTGGCTATGCAGCATTTGGGAACGATGCACCTGGAAATTTCCTCACCGGTTTCGGATTCTATGAACCCTTTTGGTTAGTTGATCTTGCCAACATCTGCATCGCCATTCACCTAATCGGCGCCTACCAGGTAATTTAGCCTTCATTTTATTAGAGGCACGCACACCTTATAAATTTGACATATTGTAAGTCAACGCTAAATAGTACAAATAACATATAATCTTTATTTTTATACTGATACGAGCAAATGCATGATGATTGGTGATCAGGTCTTCTGCCAGCCCATATTCGGGTTTGTCGAAAGCCAGTGCGCCAAACGCTGGCCCGAAAGCAAGTTCATAAACAGCGAGCACGCCGTGAACCTTCCGTTTCATGGGGCATACTGTTTCAACTCCTTCAGATTGGTGTGGAGGACTGCATATGTGGTGATGACAGCAATCTTAGCCATGTTGTTCCCCTTCTTTAACGACTTCTTGGGTTTGCTTGGAGCAGCCTCCTTCTGGCCATTGACAGTCTACTTCCCAATAGAGATGTACATTGCAAGGACTAAAATGCCCAGGTTCTCCTTCACATGGACTTGGATGAAGATTTTGAGCTGGGTTTGCTTGGTAATATCACTTGTTTCAGCTGCTGCAGCAATTCAAGGTCTCGCAACAGATGTCAAGAAGTACAAGCCCTTCCAAACTGAGCAATAGTAGTGCTTTACTATATATAGCTTTTAATATAGGGTTTGAGTAGTGTGTGATTAGTTAACTTATTTCCCAAAAACCCTAGTCTTCTTAAGTTTGTATTGTTAAATTCCTCCTAAAGTTTGAAGCTATCAAACTGGGTCAATGTTACAATGTAATTTCTCAACAAACGAAAAAGGAAATGAATATAAGAAGAAAATAAAAATCCAAAAGAAAGAGAAGGTGGAAGAGAGATAGATGCATATAGAAACCTACCTACTCGAGAACTGACGATTACAAATTTACAACAACAGTATACATAGATTCCACCAGCAGCAACTTGGTTGGTGTACTATCTTGTCAACACAGAAATACCACGTTTTGTCTGGCCCAACCTGGAGTTGTGGCAGCGCCAGCCTAAGGCACCTAAGTCGAGAGTGGAATAAAAAGTCTGCAAGTTCCATAATGATCCCCATATAATACAAGATACTAATCTGTGAAGCATTAACCATTCCGAATAATATGTCACTCCAACAGTCGTATGGTATTCCTCACTATTCAGTATTTACATTGCTACAATGGGGATAGCTTATATGGTGCGGCCGTTAGTGAGAGGACCTATGTCGCAAACAAAAATAATAAGCAGCCAGCCCAATAACTGAAGAACGGCCCACCACATAATACCACATACGGAAAGGCTAGAATGAGGAGCTAATTTGAGGACATATGGTGGTATACCATAACCGAAGTTTCTAAAACAAGTCTGTCAAATATGAACAACACATATGACCAATAAAAGAGTATACCATATTAGTCACACACATCCCAAAATGCCACTGATATACCAACAGGTTACTCAGGTATAATGAACAAACAATATAGATTAGTGTAACAAGCGATAACCCACACTCAACTTACATGTTTACTTATCACGAATGAAGGAAGCCATGAATCGAGGAACTTATTAATAGGTGAATTAAGGAATTGGAATCAAATCAATTACTCTCTCTAGTTTATCCCGTTCCCAATTTTGAAGGTATGATTACGAATTTTGAAATGGAATCCGCGTAATTTTTGTTTTATTTTTATGTGTTCAGTAAATATAGGGGAAGTGAAGATTTGGAATAATTGCAATAGTCATTCCAGATAAATAAATAAACAACCTCTTTGTATAAATAAACCAACAACCTTGTGCATGTCCAACAATTTTAACACAAGAAAATAAATTAGCAAAACATGAAAACAAACTCAAAACTCCCACTAATTCTCTATTAAGATTGCGGATTACCTTAAAAAAGATGGTTAATAGTTGTGGATGAAAGTTTTCGCGAAACTAGACATCTATGTCATTAAGATAAATGTTGCAGATAAAGCTTGACATCTATGTTACAAAAGTTTTTTTTTGCGAGTGATCTATCAATGGCTTTGGTTCCTTATCATTGCTTCCGCCCTGGACATTTACTTCAAGACACAATAACGATGTTTGCCAAATCTTATTGAAAGGGATTGTTCATATTCAAGCATGTACTAGAAAATAAATAGCAAAAGCTTCTTTGTGCGACAAATGAATGGAAGACCAAGTTGTAATGGGTTTTGAATTTTTTTTTCTTTCCTTCTGAAAAAATGGTGGGGGAGGGGGATATAAAAGTTTCACTCATGCACAGATACACAAAACAGGTTAGAATGTGATATTAGAACTTCCTCGCAATTTACTACAACCTCATTGTCCCATATTTGGTATATGGAAGGCAATCTTTTCTAAAACTTTCAGGGGCACCAAAAGGGATCCTTCTAACATAAATCAAGAAGAGTCATCAGTCTCACTCATCACAAATGCTTGAATAAGACTCTGCGCAGCATGAGTTTGTTCAGGTGTTCCAGATATTATGATCACAGTTTCAAGTGCTCCGGGCTTAGGCTCCGTAATGGTAACTTTTGCATCCGAAATCTGGAACAGTGTTGGTCATGTTAGAAGTGATAATGCTATGTGTCAAAGCATGTTGTTACTAACAGAAATTGTAGAAACATTGAACATAATCAAAATATATGTTATATACATACACTTCCAACAAAATTATGAATTTGATTTTATCAAGCAAGCAAAACCAACACACACATGCTCTTTCTTTGGTAGCCTTCATAGAACAAGATATTCTCTTTTAAGCAAACTAACTAGGAACCAACAAAATATGAGCTCTATCCATATCACACCTTTAAATACTTTCAATGAAGCTCGCTGAAAAATGCAATGGCGCCCAAACAAGGCAAAAGATGAAAATATATGAACAGATGCAAATAGAGAGAAAGAGAGAATTGGGAACAGGCACCAAACACAGTAAACCAAGGATCGGATTTTATGTTTTTTTTTTCTTTTAACTGGCAAATTGTAAAACAGCTCAATTTATTTCTTTTTCCTCTGATGCATTAGACAGCTCCTATAAACAACTGGGTGAATATGATCATAGCAGCTCCAGCCCTAAGCATAACTGGACTGCAATAACACCTCAAGCAGAGGTATTAACTTGTATGAACTTGCATTATTAAAGAAAAAAAATTACTAATAAACAAAAGGTTATGGAGACATTTCATTAGAGTTTAATTATGTCATTTGGGATTTCATATTTTATTTAAATATTGGTAATTTGTATTACATTAGATTTGAGAGTTTGATTCTTATTACTATTATGGTTTCCCAACTTTCTTTTTGGATTTAGAGCTCTATCGTATAAATAGGCCTTAATGTAACATAGGAATGAAACTCGAACATAATTATTTGAGTATATTGAAACCCCAGCCTCCCCTTTTCTATTTTCTCTCGTTTCTTTCTCAAAGTCACTTCCCTTGTTTCTCCATTTCTCTATCTATTCTATGACACTGTCTTGGTTCTACATCAGCTACACTATCATGACAATTAATTTCTTCATGCCCATTCTAGATAGACTATGAACCCAAAGCATTCCCCACTAACATGATGAAAAGGCAATTTTTATGGAATTAGGAGAAATGGCGAAGGACGATTATGAGCTAACTTCAATCACGTGCGCGCAAAACTTAGCTGAGCAGACATACACTACCACATGCTTACAGGATTCATAGCCATTAACTTTATTTTATAACTAAAAAGCAAAGCATGCTCATTTTTATCATTCCATTTCGAAGTATCCCCACAGCCCTTTATTTAATATATGTTATTCTCCATGGTTCTTTTATGTCAATGTCGTAACATCAAGAATGTACCTGACGTATTTGCTTCAAGCATTCACCATCTTCTCCATTTATTACAGGAACAAGGGAACTAGGGACAACAACTTCAACAGTGGTGTTCGTTATTATAGCTGGCTGGCTTCCTCCAAATCCTGGAATTCTTCTTTGTGGAGCAAAGTTCGGCAAGCCTAGTGGACCACCACCCTCAAGATGTCCCTGTGGATCAGTTCAGGATAGAAAAGTAAATCAGCAACATAAATCAACTGTCCTTTTCTGTTTTTTCTTCTCTTTAGTACATAGAGGTTGTTGTGCAATTTGCTTCTTCAATATCAGTTTTCTTATACTCAAACTATGCACAATTTGCTTCGCCCATTTCAAATTATCATACAGTTCACATCATTTTTCCACACATAATTAACAAGGTCATCTCAAGAAACAACAAACATATGATGCAAAACTTTGAAGCAACAGAGATAATTTTCAACAAAAATTAAAAAATGTGGGAAAAGATAAATAACTGTAGAGTAAAACGGCCATACAACAACTAAATACCTGAGGACCCCAAGGTCTTCTTTCAGATAAATGCGGGGGGCCACCTAACCTATGAATATTGTGCATAAAAGGAGCACGGTCATCATGGGGATGAAAAACACCATGTGGAGGAGGGCCACGAACAGCATCAAACTTGTGAAATGGCATGCCTAAATTAGAATGCATTCCTGGAGGTGAGAGGTCCCTCCTCATATATGATTGAAACGGAGGTTGATCCAAATACGCGGGATTTGGAGGATAATTTATAGAAGGAAATGCATCACGGAAATAGTGATGCCGCAACCTAGTGGTGATCTGGAGAAGAGCATCTTTAACGGCTTCGAATTCTCCATTTATCTGTCAGAAAAGGAACATTGCAGCAACAAGCACAGTGAGTAAAAATGTTAAGATTGCTAAATATGGCACAATGAAGAACACTTACATACAAGCAAAGATAGTACACCAACTGGCATATTAATAGAAACATTAAAAAATCCACATAAAGTTCACCATAATTAAACCCAGAACACGAAAGCAGCAACTTCACATTATGATACCCCAGATAGAGATACGTCCAACCTCTTGAAACTCAAAGAACCGTGCATGCACTAAGGAATACGCACCTGAACAAGTTCTTCATCATCTGGAGCACATTTTGGAATTTGATCCTTCCCCATTATACGGATATGCGCCCGAGATAACTTTCTCATTTCGGCAATGATGGCACCACCCTTGCCAAGGAGACAACCAATTTGATTAGAGGAAACAAGAAGCCTCGCCATCATGGATTGTTCCTTGCTATTAGGTGCAGCCCTGAATATTCTACTCTGGACACGAAGAACGGCATCTTGGACAGGTGATATCCTATCATCTGGGTGCTGCAATAGTTAACTTGTTAAACAGCTTATCTTGTGTTTGTGAGTACGTGTGTGTCTCTTTATGTCTTTGTGTGTCCAAGAAGAAGAAAATGTTAAAACCATACCGCAGGACCAGATACAATAATAAGACGGTCCTCTGAGTCAGGCACGCCTTCCATAACTTTGATTTCACAGCCTGTTTCTTGTTTAAGTGTCTTTATTATGGATCCTCCTTTTCCAATTACACCTCCTACTCTCTCTTCATGGCACAATAAGCGGAAAGTTAGGACTTCCTGTGAAGGCTTCATCCTACCACTTCCATGGAATTTGGGTATTAGTGGATGAGCAGCAGGATGTGAATCTGCAACGTCACCAAGCTGATCACTATATGGTGCTCCTTGAGAACGGTTGGGTGGGGGATATACTTCTGGTCTAGGAAGAGATTGACCAATTGAATGAGATGATGGCCCTGAAGTGTTGGACAGGGAAGAGTCACTATCGCGAGGTGGATTCTCCAAAAGCTGCTGAGAAACAGATTCAAGAGCTTTCCTAACTGCATCAACTTCCCCTGTAATCTGCAGCAGAATTATGATATATGATGTCCGTACAGAACTTTATGCATCAAAATCATCAACATAAAAAACATGAACCAAATCCTACAGTGATGCACAATTATTGCCAAGCTCCAAGACAGCATTTTTCAATATTTCTTTTTTAGTTGTTCCCTTAGGTATTCCAAGGCCACTAGGCATGGACAGCAAAACAACGACACCCAATGCTAAAATATTTCATCTGCAATGTTTAATTGCTTATGAATTTTGACAGCCATGCTGATTATATCAAATGCCCAGTAGTAGAAACCCAGTAGTTATTCATATCATCACTGAAATATGAGCTATTTTCATGGGTATGGATGATAGTATAAATAACAATAGTGTCATTCAATGTTACCTGAACTAGTTCATCGGAAGCTGTTGCACATAGTGGAAGTTTATCTCTAGGAAGGATCCGGATTTGTGCCCCACTTTCAGATGACATTTGTTTGACCACACTACCACCCTTTCCCAAAAGGCATCCCACTTGAGTCGAAAGGACTAGTAATCTACAAACAAATGTCAAAGACTTGTCACTTTGTTCATCCCCTCCATCAGTCTCTGTTTCCCCTTCAATTATTCTCTCAAACACAAGTTGCAGAGCTTTCTGCACAGACGGACTTAGGTTGTCAGATTTTGAATCTTCATTAGGAACAGATTCCTTATTTTCATCATTCTCTTTTGAATCCTTAGTATCATCATGCTTTTCATCCACATTTTCCCCTTCAACGCCATCCTCCATGCTATGCTCAGTATCAACATCATTATCTCTATCAGAATCCACAATAATAACTCTTTCGTCACATCCGGGGACAGTTTCCTCAACTCTGACCTTTACAAGAGTCTCTTGACAAATTTGTGATATAAAAGAGCCACCATCACCGGTGATACTATCAAGTTTGGACACAGGGCACAGTACCCTGAAAACAGCATTGCCAGAGGAGAGTTTAGAAGATTGATTTTCAGACTTTTGCAGCTTCCCTTTCCCATTTGTCTCTGTAGGGTTCTCATCATGTGGTCTCTTTGAAGGCGTTAATGGAGCTGACATTTCTACCCTAAATTATGGCAGACCTGTGGCACTGTAATTTTCACATAATCCCAATAAAGAAAATCATATATATGTAATCACTATGTAAAGCAGTAACTATCAGAAATCCAAACAAAAGGAAAATCTACAATGGAAACTTTGAACGTTAAAGATGTAGAGCTCTAAGATGTGTCCCAGTTATTACATTGCTAATGGGCGATGCCCAAGAACACTGTAAACCTACATTAACTTATCCAGTTGCAAACACTTTACCAACAAAAGATACAAAGCTAGCAGACACTACATAAACCCTAAAATTCCTGTTTGGCAGCTGGGAAAATGTAGATATTATAAAGTACACTAATTTGCCCCAAATTGCAAAACTTGAGCTCTGCCCCAAATTGCAGAGAAATTGAATTTTGCCCCAAATACATGAATTTGTGTTTTCTTTCATTGAAAAAAGAAGAAGCAAAAGGGACAAGAAAACATGAGCAGGTAATTAAGAAAGTGAAACACTCACCCAGTTGTGGAAGATTCGAAAGAAGCAGAGTTTCAGTTTGGGTTGAAACAGCACTTGTTCAACTCAGGGGACATTGTTTGCTTCTTCTACCAATCAAGGGAGTGTTTTGCTTTTGGGAAGCCGAAAGTTCGAAATCCCTAATGAAGCAAACCTGATTGGTTTTTTCCTCTGGTTAAGGAACACCCGGTCCAGTAGAATTCTTGTTGTAGAGTGTTACCCTGAAAGCCCAACATAAGCAAAAGCTTCGGCCTTATAGCTTGCCCAAATATTTCAAGGAACTGTTAACCTAATACTCCTACTTGGTTTTTTTTTAAACCATTTTTCTTTTATGGACGACAGGAGAGGAGATTCGAATTGTGTATCTCTTCTAAATTCCAAGAGAAAAAATATTTCTAGATTTTAAATCAATAATATAATAATTTTCTCCTCGTACTAATTATATGTCAAGATTTGATAAAACAATCATTGTAGACCCATGACCCTCGTAAAATTGGTTACCTAAAGTAAATACATATACCTGGAAAACTTATCATTGTAGACCCATTAGGACATGAGTACTAATTAAGCCATCTTTCTAATGTAACATAGAAAGTCATGTCTTATCAGGATAAGAGTACTTTCGGACAACCGTCTTGTTTTCAATTAAATTAACCGCTTAAGATAACATGTTCATTTGTGAAGAAATTTTATCACCGTTAAGATAAGGAAAGTTGAGACACAGTCATGAAGCTTATTATGGTTTAGTTCGTGTTATGGTCAAAAAGACATTCTACGTTTTCCTCAAATGTGAAGGAAATATGAAACGCCATTTCTCCTGTATGACACTATATATATGGCAAGCTGGAACTTAGTTTATAATTTTTTTATTTTAATAATTGATAAAGGATATTGTTTTACATATTTGTATATCAAAAATGAAGTACGGCGTGTGTCCCCTTGTGGTCGGTTTCCTAGTGCCACAAAGAGATTTCCAAAAAGCCAATCCATTTCCCAACGGCAGAAGGATTTCCTAGCGCCAAAGGGATTGTGTGCTGCACTATAAAATGGTCCAACGAATCTCGTCGAAATCAAAATTCCAACGCATTCTCTTATTCTCTCTCTCTCTCCATCTAATTTATTCTCTCTCTTCATTTAATTTATTTTCTTTGGGCCGAAGCAAACAAAAACACAAGCCGCAAACCCAAACCGCCTTCAAGGGTCATTTAGGTAATTTCAGGCTCCCCCAAATTCCACGCATAAAAGCTTTTGGCCGACGTACAAACCCCTGATTCTACGAGTTTTCTTGACTTCTGTGAGTCATTTCGATTTCGATCAAGCTCGAAGCTCTAGAATCCATGGCTGCCAACGCCGTAACACAGAAGAAGCTCGTCCATTCGGTCACCGTTAGGGTTCCGACCCAGACGCATTCGTCTTCGTCGTCTTCTTCAGCGAGCCGTAGAAGTGCCTGCAGTCGCGGGTCGGGTTGTTGCTCCGTGCGCAATCGGATCCACTACCCGTCCAATTTCAAGCGGAGCGCGGCTCCGGCTCGGGTCATGTTCTTCCAGAACGGGTCCTGGAACGACTTGCCGGATCACGCCATTGAAATTCTGCGTTCGGGTTTCGTGGAGCGCAAGGCGGTGGTCAGCGTTGAAATTGAGGGGTCAACGTTCTTGTTTGACTTCATGCGGATGTTGCAGATTGATTCGGGAACTGGAGCTCAGAGATCGATTGCTTGGATTGACGAAAACGGCAAGTGTTTTTTCCCTGTGGCGTTTGTTTGCGAGGATTTGAAGGACGGGTCCGATAGTCTGGATAGTCCGAATAGAAGTATCGATAATCGGGTCGTGGTCCCGGGTCGGGTTTTGGGTAAGAGAAAGACAGATGAGGTCGATGAAGACGAAGTGACCTCGTCGATACGGCAGCGTATTGTGGACAAGAGTTCACCGTGGCCAAATATGAAGTTGTTGAAAGAAGGAGAAAAGCCTTACGCAGTTGGGAGCCAGGTGTTTCTCGCAGGGATGAGAAGGGTTGATCCAGCGGCTGCTGTGACTTCAATTCATCAGTGTGTTAGAACTGGGCCGTTGGATAGGGCTCGCTACGAAGTCTTTCAAAAGCAAGTTGAAATTACCAAGGTGGCTCGGGGCGTGGCCAATGTGGTTCATGCTTGGTACGGCGCTTCGGCTAGCGAAATAAGAGGCATTTTGACACATGGTTTTGGCGGGCCTAGCAAGGTTTCTGGGCCTCAGTCTCGTGGTGTTGGTCTATACCTGTCACATTTATCAGCACCTCACCTAAGGTAATTATGCGTCTCATTTGGGTTTTTTATGTTGATATTTTGATGGATGAAATTTGTGTCCATGTAAGTGAATATGTGCTTAATACGGGTTTTCCAATTATTGATGTTTTAATGGGTTGAATTGTGTAGTGCTGGGCGGTCGGACCCGGATGATAATGGCGAAAAACATGCTATTTTGTGCCGGGTTATATTAGGCAATGTTGAAAAAGTTGAGGCAGGGTCTCAACAATGCCACCCTTCCAGTGCGGAATTCGATACGGGTGTAGATGATCTTAGGAATCCTAAGTGGTATGTGGTATGGTCCACCAATATGAATAGACATGTTCTTCCTGATTGTGTTGTGAGCTACAGATCATCTGTTCGTGTGCCAGGTATGTATGATTCCTTTTTTGTTTGTTTTAATTTTATTTTGTTATTTTCCTTTCATTTATGGAAACTGGTTTCGTGTTGTGGATCTATCAGCTCAAATGGGAAGACTTTGCTCTATTGACGCATTGGTTTCGAGGGTTCAGAAATACCTTACTCCTTCTAAAGTTGAGGAACTGTCCTCTCTGGTGTGTGACTTGAAGGCAAGTAACCTTCTTTTCACTGGTTGAAAATTATTCATATTGTCTATTCCTCTGAAGATATGGACAAGAAAACTTAATCTAAGAGTCAATTGTTTTGGCACCTTGATGCAGGTTGGAAAGCTTGCAAAAAGTGATTTTGTAAAACAGTTTCGATCAGTTACTGGGGACCAATTGAAGCCATCTGTTATTCGGGAATTGCGTGGCTAGAAGCAAGGTTCTTCTTAGATTTCGTATAGAAATGTGTTGTCGTGGTCTATACAATTGATAGAACCATGTATGATCTTTCCTTAGAAATCATTTTAGGATTAGGGTGAAAATGTTAGTATTTTTTTTTGGGGGTCACCTTATCATATATGTAGCAAATGTGCTTCCAGTTTAGTCATAACAAAAAAAGCGTTGTTCATTGTTTGTTAATAATGAAGTTCCGGTTATGTAATTGAATGAAGGGTGTTCCTACATCTTTTGTACCTAGTAGCTACCCCTTTAGCTATGAAACTGGCATCTGAGGTTGAGATTGGTTTTGCTATATCCAAAAGGTTGTACGGAATTTTAAACATTCTCGAGTATGAGACTTGTTGCTCCTGTGTTTGTGGATGCTTGTACTCATGTGCATGTATTGATGCTCCTGTGTTTGTGGATGCTTGTGCTCATGTGCATGTATTTGTGCGGTGAGCGTTGTCTGAACTGAGGACATTGCTAAAAAAATTGTTAAGTTAATTCAAAATGTCATCTGCCTGTGAAATTCCTTTTCATTGAAGTGGATAAGGTTAATAATTTAAAGAGGCTTGTGTGTGTGCGCGCGCGCATCACATGCGTTCTAAATTGTAACAACTGGGTGTTAAAGAATTTCAGGAACATGTGTTCTATCACTACTACAAAGTAGATTATTAAAAGAGTTGGACCATGGACTTTTATGTCAACATCAATTTTACATGGGTCGCTATTTACAGCTCTTGTTGATTCTGTATTAGAATCCCTGTGTTTTGGTATTAAGTTTGCACACACTGAGTTGGAGTCGATTCGAGACTTTGATTAAGAGGATGTGGGGTTAATTGGAATCTGATACAGGTTTGAAAGTAATGTTCAAGTAACTCATAAAGCAGATCAGAAGGTCAAATGTAAAATTGTTTATAAGGGAAGGCTTAAGCACTGGAAATAAGATACACTGAATTTTTTATTTTTTATTTTTTTTTACTATTAACATATACTGTTTGTGGCATGCACGTGGATCTGTTATGATGGCTTAAGTGGAAATTTGCTTTTAAGGAGAAAATATTTCATGAAAACTCAGTGTCTGTTCAGTTCTTCGGTTGCTTGACATGGATGGCTGAAAGTTTATGAGAGTAAATAGCATCTAAGATCTCTGATTGCAAAGTTGATGAACTTGTGTGCACTGGAGCTTCTGTAGGCTTTCCCCAGAAAAAGGTACAAGCATATTCATCTGAACTTAAAATTGAAATGCAGTAATGACTTTTGAGGTCTTCTATTCCTTTGGATGATTGAACTACGTTTCAGGCAGTGATGTAAAAGGTAAATATTTATGAAGATTTTTGTTTTTGTGCTAAATGCCATTGTGCCTTATTAGTTATAAAAAGAACTCCAGAGAATCCCATGAGTAGGCCCTGAATAAGAACTATCAAATTCTAATTATGAGCTATAGAAATCTAGTGGCTTAAATAGTTGACACTACTTCCAACTGTTCTCATGTAACATATGATAATTTGCCTTTGTGACTGTTGATTCTTTCTGAAAAGGAGCTTATACAGTTAAGCCTAACCCCCTAGTGTAATGCGGGATATTTTACTCACGAAGAAAAATTATGGAGGCTACTTGAGGTGAAATAAGGAGAAAATTCAGATTTTAGGCTCTTTGTGTGTGTGTGTTTGTGTGAGCTTTTTTTGTGTTGGTGGTGGAAAAATATGAGTTCTAAGCGCATATAGCAAGGATATGATTATTTTACTTGTTCTCCTTATCCTCTCCCTCCCCCTAGTCTACTGCTCCATTTACTCTTTTGTAGGACATAAGCATGCATTCTTTTATGTAAGTGTATTTGTCTGAAGTGTCTTAGATATCAGCACATGCTAATTATATTTGTCTAAAGAATGAAAACTCATGAGGAGAAGTTAAAGCACCAGTTGGATAACATTCCTGTTTTTTGTTTTTAATGTTTTGAGATGAACGAGAAAAAGATAAAAGGGATGAAAGAGGTAAATTTGGAGAGCAGATGGAATTACAACTAAACTTAAAAATCATTTACAGCTGTTTTTGTTTTAATTGTAAAAACCATAATGTATTTTATTCATTGCTCCTGCACCTCGCTCATCTCTTTTCTTTTTTTTTGGGTATTTGGTTTTAATTGTATAGGTCATTTTTTTTAATCAGTGAATTGGTTATTGAGCTATCAAACAGTTGGATTAGGCGCCAAGTTTAGTTGGTTCAGTATGTAGTTGTACAATTGGGCTGTAATTGGTGTGATTTGTAAGATTGTTTTGGAATTAATTCAATAGTACATTCATACAGAGTTTAGGGTTTGGTTTGAACGGGGTTCTATCAATTGGTATCAGAGCCAGGTTTCACTTCGCAATCCAATTCCTAAAAAGGAACGACTATAGGCTGGATTTAATTGCCATTGAATAAAATATATACTTGTTATTGACCGTGCAAAAGTCTCTTAGACTGTGCAAGGATATCTTGAGGGGAATGCTCTGCTTTGTAACTCACATGTGACCTTGTTTTCCTTACAAGTCTAATACACTTATTTTACGTTTGGGCCTTGAGTCCCTAGAGTTGGTGGGTTTGAGAGGCCACAAAAGGGTTCCAAAAGTACTATAATTGAAAGCTGTATTGCTTTATGTGTCTCTACCATTTGTTGCTGCTGCTGATATACCTTGAAGTTTTCATGTGCAGGATGAGATTATTGAAGTTGCGTGAGGTATGCTTAATCGGCTAATACTAGTTTTGAATGGCATTTGACTTAGGCTTCTACCAGGCATTGTTGGAAAATCCAGTTAGTTTTTGCATTTGTTAACTTTTTTACTTCTCTTGTGTTTGCTCTGCCTATCTTTTGTCTAGAGATAGTTTTAATATCTCAGGATTTTTCCTTTAACTGGCTATGCAATCTTAGGGTATGGCTTTCTTGGGTTGTAGTACTCTGCTATCCTAGCCTGGTCATGATGTTTCACTACTAGTGGTAGCTCTATAGGAAATCCAGGCCCAGTCAGAGCAGAGTGCCTGGTTTGCATGCTCAAAGAGATAGGGCTGGAGAACATGGCAGGGGTTTGGCGTAAGCACATAGACAAGGTATGGCTCCATTGGATTGGTTCTGCAACAGTGAAACTACCCTTGTTGGGGCACTTTGCAGATTGCTGAGCTCTGCTGTATCCATGCTTTGGATGAAGGCAACATTTGCTCCTGTGGTTTGGCTAATCTTCGTCTTGGTAACAGTTTTTGTATCCTCTGTCTTAGCTGCTACCTGGGGTTTTAGTGCCATTTGTTTTCCCTTGACAATCCATTCTTCATGAAACGTGTGTAGACGCACTGGCATGTAGACAGGTGTTGCATAGTTTTGGTGCATCAATAAATGGGCAGTCACATTCTTTCTAGTGGATTTGCAAGGTGCAACTGACCTAAATCTTCATCATGAACCGTAAGTATTTATTTTGATATTTGTGATCATGCACTTCTATGTATGGTTTGTGTCAATTGATACTGGGTGTGTTCTGTGATCTATTATCCAAAGGGAAAGCTATCTCAAATCAGAGTAGACAATGAGAGGATCCTTGTAATTCTTTAAGAAAGTCGTCGCCATAATGACTTGGTCATTGTAAGGAGTGCAGCTATGCTGAAACATGTCCCTTTCCGAAAATTTAAAGCTGCACCAACATTTTGGAGTCTTTTACTAGTCCCAATCTCAATCACTGTGCCCATGTGGGTAAAAAGGGTTTCCTATCTGGTGGTGGATTCCCAGAGTGTAGACCCTAATCCGAACACCTTTGAGAACACCTTTGAATGTGCAGCCATTAAGTTTTATGGCCAGAGCAATAATGTATATGGAGGTTGTGTTATGTAAGGGTGTGTGGAGGATTTCGTTTTTCGAAGATGAGATTCTTTTTTCCGGAGGATTTTGCAATCTGAACTCCTTTGAATATGCAGCCTATTCCAAATCGTGTAAATTTTTCTAAAGCTGCAAGTGTTAGGGCCAGAGCAATAATGTAAAATGGAGGTTGTAACTTGTATTTATGCAAGGGTGTATGTGAGGATTTCTTTGTTTGAAAGATGAGGATTTTGTTTTCCGGAAGATATAAATATATCAAGAACAAACATGCAGGACCTAGCATTCTACAGAGGACTAAATGCAGATACAATAGAGCCTACAGCCAAAGCTGTGACCATCCCCAAGATCATAAGTCGGAGAGAGATTAGTTGTCGATGTAAAGACTTCAAAGATCAGTCTGCTGCTCATCCCCTATTTCATTCCTATATCATCTCTCTCGACTCTCGAGGCTGTTACATATAAAATCATCACGAAAAGTAAACTTCATGTGTATTGTATGCAATCAAGTAAATAGTTTTATGAACGAATGGATCGGATCGAATTGGAACACCAAAATAGTTACGTATGAGTAATGTCAGGGTCACATTTATTTCTAGAGCAACACAGCTGACATCATCAGCTCTCTTTTGTTGGACTGCATCCAAACCAAAAGCAAGACAGTGCATTAAAGTTTTATAGATCAATATTATTGATGCTCTATTGGACTATATGCTGACTTTAAGCAAGAATGCCTTTTCTATTTTGGCTTTCTGTATTTCATTGTGTACTTTGTGGGTGAGCAGTTTTGTGCACTAATATCAAATCATGGCCCCCTCCACCTAAAGGATTGGAAAATTGTCTCTCAACCCTTTCCCTTAGCACCACAATTTTTGGCCCACCACTTCTGCATAAATGCTCCTAGCTCCTTGGTGCATGGCCTTAATGGAGTTAGTGGCCCAGAAGAAAAAAAAAAACCAAAAAGGAAAAAAGAAATCATCACATCCACTTCTCTCATATAATTTATTATTATTTTTTGTTGAATATATGAATTATTGAAGTGTGAAAATGATATTGGATTCCCCGGTAAGAAATGATCATATGTTGAAGTTTCATCTCGATAGCATAAAAGAAAGAAGTCCGTCAGCACGATTGCAAAGAATCATTGCTTATTTGTGAGTGTTTCCGTGAGAATTTTGAAGAAACTGAGAATAATTACTTGTGATAGAAAAGACTTGAAAGTGCTTTTGAAAGCACATATAACAGAAGCTTCTTCATAAAGTTATTTTAACTTCTTCTTGCCATAAGTTCTTTTGGTTATATGTGAGCATTTCTAGTGGGAACACATAAAGTCGGAGGTATAAAGCTTCTTTTACATTCTTTTATATCTTTGGAAGATGTAAACGTGGATTTTGCTCCAATAAGAAGATATGTAAATTCGAATATGTAACAGTTTGGTTTCTATGTTTTCAAAATTGGCAAAATTAACTTTTGAAGTTAATGAAAATTTACACCATTAGTCTTTCTATATATGTTGAACTATCACTGTCCGTTTGGATGAGGAAAAATAAGTCAGATTTAACTATAAAAGTCGGGAATTTAAGAGGTGAAATTGACAATTCCTTTGTTTGGCAACTGAAGCACGGAATTTATTAAATGACGCGCGGAAAAAATCGTGAAAATTGGGGCATCAAATTCCCGAGTTTAATTTATACCAAAATAGGCTTCATTTCACAATTTCCATAGTGCCATTTACAAAATTCGACATACATAAATTCAAACACTGAAATCTTCAATTGCCAGAAATTGAAATGATGGAAATCTAAATTCCGTCATTTTAGAATTCTATGTAATTTTCAGTTCTTTCATCCAAACAGAGGGTCAAGGTTATTATTTGTTGTCCACGTGAAATCTTGTTAGTGCCTGTTTGGCATTGTTTATTTGGGGTGATAAGTGATTTTAAAAAAAATTTGGAAAGCCCAGCTCGTTTGGTAAACTATGAGAAAATTACTTATTGTTAAAAATTCTTGTGAGAGAAAATTATAAGGGAAAACAACTAATGAGGTGATTTCATTTTCTGATTATGCAAGAATCAGTTTCGAAGAGGCGCTGGGTTTAATGATTATGCGGGAATCATTTTTTGATTATATGAGAATCAATACGAACAACACTTTTAACAAAAAGTTTACCAAACACCAAACTGCTTTATCTCACAGCTGATTTCTCTCACAACAAATTTGACAGCGATTATTTTCACAGTACAGCAATGCCAAACTAACCTCAACTTGGTGTCTCCTCCGTGTACCCTTCATAATTTTTTGACACATGTCCTATAACCTAACCTCAACTTAACATTGTTAACTTTAAAATTAAAAAATTGAAAAATTAAAACAAACAATCAACAACACCATGATGTCTCCACCCACTTAAACCCTGGCAGCCACCCACTCCAACCTCTGTTTATGTATCTGTATCTTTCTCTCCCTCCCTCCCTCCCTTCCTCCTTCTCTATATATCGTTCTTTTCTCTACCAATCTTGATTATTATTTTTTCAATTTGCCTATTTTGATCATTCTGGGTTAATGGGTATGTGTTTCACTTTTGATTTTTGGGTTTAATTTTGTTGTTTTTGCATGTGTTTACAATGAAAGGGACTGCTCATTTGGGTATGATATCGGTGAAGGGTGGTTGATTTTTCTTGGTTGCAGAGCTTTAACCCACTACTAGATCGTGAACCTAGGGCGGCTTACGTTGGGTGGCTGGCCTAGGGTGGGGTAAGAAAGGGAGGTTGCCACCAGTGGGATGGGGTGATTGGGGTGGGTGATTGTTGGTGTTGGCTGGGCGGAGGGACTTGGTAATGGTGGCTGCTATGATTTAGTGTTTTTTTGTTTTTCAATTTTTAGCTTTTTAGTTTTTTATTTTATTAAGTTAACACTGTTATATTAAGGTTAAGTGGCAGGATACTTATCAAACATTTAAAGAGGGGACATGAAATGAAAGGGACACTAAATTGGGGACAGCGAAACCACTCCCAAGTCGGAGTCCATATAAACAAAAAATTAAATGAGTGACATGTCAAAAAAGAAAAGGTTAAATTTTAAAGTTAGACTGGCGGATGAGCAAATGGTTTAATGGTTTAATGGTTTATAATTTTAAAATTGTAAGTGTTAATTTTTTTTCAAAGAAAAAAACAGAGACCAAATTGTCACACACCCAGGGACGGATCTACAGAGGAGCAAGGGTAGTCAAGTGACCCCTGCAACGTCTGAAATCTGCCATGGAAGGGGAGAAAATTGACCCCTGCAAAGTGTTTGATGAAAGTCCCCAAAGAGCCACAATCTGCTTCTCCAGCGCGCAGAGATCTTGCGCGCTTCCCCTTCTTTTTTTTTTAACCTCGACGTCAAAACGACGTCGTTCTACTAATGTTTTTTTTTTTTTTAAAAGGCCAAAACCACATCGTTTTGTCTCACGTTTTGAAAAGACGTCGTTCTACTAATGTTTTTATTTATATATATATATAAAAAAAGGCCAAAACCACGTCGTTTTGTCTCACGTTTTGAAAAAAAAACAAAAGAAGGCGCAGACTCTGTTTAACACAGAGAGCCCGATACCTCCCCTCCCCATATCAGTTTCAGCTCCCAGATTTGGGTATTAATTGTAAACGTATCTTGGGAATTTGTTTTCAAGTTATGATCTTTTTAGCTGGGTTTTAGAAATGTAGAAATTTGGAAATTGAATAATCACTATACTTTGCCAATATTCTGGCATAAACATGGTTTTTTGGGGCTTTGTTTTTGTTCAAATTTAAAGTTCATTTCGTTAAATTAATTGTCTGAATCATTGATTTGTGTTTTCTAGTATTGTTTTGTTTAAAATCTGTTTAAATTTGATGACCTTTCTGCCATTTTTTGTTCTAATGGCTAGAACAATAGATTTGATGAATTATTGGGCTCTGTTCTTTTTCAAGTTTTAACTTTGTCATTTGGTTCCAAAAATTGATCTTGTTTCTAGGTTTATCAGTTTCTTGAGGATTTTTATCAATCTGTCGGCATCAATCTTGTTTTAGGATCTATCAATTTCTTGATGATTTTTGTCGATTTGTTTAAACTTGATGAATTATCTGAATCTTTGCATTCTAAAATCTCCTCCTTATCTAATTTTTCTCGTCTCTTTTTGTTTACAATTTCAGTAAAGCTAGAAACTAGGCAAGTCTTTGCAACTCAATTTCCCATGCTTTCAAGGTACATTCGTCAGATGAATGTACCTAAGCTCCGAAATCAATATCAAGTAGCCGTCGGGACGTTGAACTCTGGAAGGAAAATTCCTGGATCCGTCCCTGCACACACCCTAATTTGAAAGTGTGCAAAGTATAATTTGAACTCTACGCACACGTCTATTATATATCATATCATTTGACTTTTTAAAAACTATAATGTAGATTTCTAGTATTATTTTATACGCATGCAAATCTTATTTAAAACATGAAAAACAGACAAGAATTTTCTTGAATGATTTTATGACCATTCACATGTCTCGAGTTTGTGGAGCATCAAAATCAATTCTAAATATGGTTTGATCGGTCAGGCTCATATTGAATGATACTGATAGAAATCAGAATACATTTGAGTTCCAATTTAATTTTATATCAAATGTGTCCTCTCAGGAATTCTCTCCCACTGCCGACAAAATTTCCATACCCAGTAAAAAATGGTATTGATTTACAGATTAGTGGCCTCATGTTCGAACCCCATAACACCGTAGTAGTGTATGTGCAAGAAACTCCTTTTCCATGTAGTTTAGACTATCGCTTGAACTAAAAAACCAAAAAAACTTAGTTTAAACATAAAATACAAACTTGATTGAGTGATTGAGCTCCTTAGTTTAAATTTTTTAGTCATCAAGTAGAAATTTCATTCACAATGCTCTCTACATCGACAACATTCAAAAGATATTCATTCAATCACAGCCACACAAAAATAAAAATAAATAAATAAATAAAATAAAAATAAAAATTCAGTACATATCTGCCACTGCAACTAAAACGTCAACTACTCAGACTAAACCAAGCACCCTCAACAGAAAAACAAAATTAAAACTACGAGAGACTGCAACTCACTCGCATAATCACATTACCCTTGAGTTCGTGATCACATATTATTTGCTCCATGTAACATGTGCAAGGGAGTAGTCATCCTTACCTTAGATTGGAGTGGGCTCCAGCCCAATGCAAATTTTTGGAAATAC